CAGGTAAGATGGTTGCAAGTACTCCTGGTGGCGCCAGCCATAGTACCCCAGTTGTACAAGCGCCAGAAACCAGCAGGGTGGAAGATGCCAGACAAAGTATCACCACTCTGCAAATAGTAAAAAATAGCACCGGTAGTGCCTGCCGTAGTACTCCGGACGAGCAACCAACAACCAGCAAATCGGCGGCCGTTGCAGGCAGCAATCCCGCCTCTAAGAAAAGGAAACCCTCGGGCGTGGTCATGAGACAGATGTACCAGAAGGCGCTGTATATGTTAAATAAAATTGACAAAAATGCAGCGGCCGGTACGGTACATGAGCGTGACGAGGAAGACAAGGCAAAATACATGCAAATAGTGGAAGAGTACGAAAAGTTACAGACAGATCGTGCAGCCACAATCGAGGCCACCGAAGCAAAGAAACGGAACCGCTCTCATAATGAAGGCGGCCAAGGGGCCATTACACAGAAGGCTAAGCAAGGAGGTGATGCGGAGTCTGCAGCACCCGCGAAGCATCGCTATTTTAGTGACGTCGCCAGAGATCACCTACAGGCGGCGATAATAGATGAAAATAGCAAGACACCGCTGGCAGTGCAGCAAAAATGGGTGGAGATTGATGTGAGGCTGTCGAGCCTCGTAATGAACTACGTACTCGACAACCCCGAAGGTCCTCACCCAGAGTTCCACTCGTCGGAATCCCTACGGGGATACCGGGTAGTCAAGTGCGCGAACCAGTTCTCCCTGGATTTCCTTGCTGGATGCGTCGCTAAGATCAGCGACACTTTTGTCGGCTTGAAGCTCAAGCTGATTCCAGCTAAGGACATTCCAAGGAGACCACGTGCGCGCATTTGACTGCCTCCGATGGATGAACCAGGCGAAAAGTTGCTGCAGTGTCTTAAGCTACATAATAAAGACATACCGGCGATCGAGGAATGGGAGCTTATAAAGGTTGAAGAGCCAAGAAGGCCTACAAATAAGCCCATTCTGGTAGCTATTTGCGCAGAATCACTGGACGCCTTAGAGAAGGCTGACTATCGGCTCTGCTTCGGTATCCGTAAGGCTAGAGTGCGGGTATTCCTCGGAGAGGTTAGCCCGGTAGAAGAAGATCCCGGGGTTGATGGAGCTGGTGAGCTTCTCATGGGTGTGAAGTTGACAGATGACCCTGAACCGGAAACTTAAAGTAGCCCAAATAAATCTGCAGCACTCCAAATGTGCTACAGATAATCTAGTTGTCCTTCTCAGTGAGGAGGATATAGACATTATTCTAATTCAAGAGCCCTGGGTCAAGCACGATACAGTCATGGGACTAAACATAAATAATTATAAACTCTACTATAAGAGCGAGGTGGGTAAACCGCGTGCGTGTATTCTTATCAAGAACGGTATAAATGCATTCCTTTGCTCTAATTTCAGCACATCAGATACAATAATGGTTAAGGTGGAGACCACCGGACAGCCAAGTATACTCCTGGCCTCATCATACATGGCTCACGATAGGGACAGTCCGCCAACCGAAATCCAGGAGATGATAGCCAAAAACCCCAGACAAATTATAGTCGTCGGCTGCGATGCGAATGCAAGGCATCCAGTTTGGGGTAGTTCTACGGAGAACGACCGAGGTGAGTCTTTACTACACTTCTTATTAAATACTAACTTAAGCATCTGCAATAGAGGTAATACACCCACATTCATATTCCCGAGTTCAAACCGGTTTCCTGGATGGGAGGAGGTGCTGGACCTAACCCTGTTGTCAGAGAACGACAGCGTGTCTGTAGAAGAGTGGAGAGTATCTGATAGGCCTTCAATGTCTGATCACCGTCTGATCCTCTTTAATCTGCACGGAATTTCCAACACCCCCTCGAAATACAGAAACCCCCACAGGACTAATTGGGAAAGATATAGTAACACACTTAAGCGTAAACTAAGTAAGCTCCCACTAAATACAACTGTCACTACAGTTGAGGATCTTGATAATAGAGTAAATAAACTAGAAGAGGTTATGAAGAAAGCCTTTGAAAGATCAACTCCAGTTAGTACAGCAAGAAAGAAATCCCCACCCTGGTGGAATGGGGATCTCAGAGCCCAAAGAGACAAAATAAGGAAAATCTACAATGATTGCTTTAGAACTAAAAACTGGGCGCCTAAAAAAGCGCCCTAAGATCTTATAAAAAGGAATTGAGAAAATCTAAAACTAAATCCTGGCAATCTTACTGCTCTTCTATAGAGAACTCTAAAGACTCAGCCAGGCTCATCAAAATCCTATCTAAAGAACACACAAATATCACACTCATTAAAGGAGAAAACGGGGTGTGGACGAACACAGCTAGTGATTCTCTAAACACGTTAGTCAAGGTCCATTTCCCGGGATGTATTCGACATCCACCCACATCAGGGTCAATTGAACCTGGTTCAACTAGCAGTATACTGTTGAACTCGATCGTGAGCAGAGAAAAGATTATTTACGCTATTAACAGCTTCTCTCCCTTCAAATCCCCTGGACCAGATGGCGTAATCCCAGCAATGCTCCAAAAAGTGAAGGAAGAGATAGCACCGTTACTTGAGACTATTTTTAAGGCTACTATTACCTTGTGCTACATTCCTAAAAGCTGGAGAAGGGTAAAAGTCGTGTTCATACCCAAGCCAGGAAGGAAAAACCACGAAATAGCAAAAGATTTTAGACCCCTAAGCCTTACCTCCTTTGTGCTCAAAACAATGGAAAGGTTTCTCGACATTTACATAAGATCGCTGTTAGGTGAAGCGACACTCTCAACAGCACAACATGCATACATCAAAGGCAGATCCACTGAATCTGCTTTACATGAAGTGGTGAGCTTAATAGAAAGATCGTTGCACTTTAAACAATATACTCTGGCGGCATTTCTTGACATCGAGGGCGCATTTAATAACATTGAGGTTGCCACCATCATAGACTCTTTGATAGATATTGGTGTTGACGACAGTGTTTGTAGATGGATACGATCGATGCTAGTCAATAGAACCATTCAGGCAACAATTGGGGCTAGCTCTATTATACATCATGTGAACAGGGGCACTCCACAGGGCGGAGTGCTCTCACCACTGCTATGGGCGATAGCCCTGAACGGTATATTGCTAGAACTCAATAGAGGGGGAGTCAAAGTTGTAGCGTATGCGGATGATGTTGTAACAGCAGCCACAGGTCCATTCCTCTCTACCGTTAGCGAAATCCTTGAAGGAACCCTGGGAAGGCTACATGCCTGGGCTACGAGAAGCGGCCTAAATGTGAACCCAGCCAAGACAGAACTTATCCTATTTACAAACAGACACAAACTACCACAATTCAAGCTACCATCGCTAGACGGCAA